AAATGGAATCATATAGTATTTGTCCTTTTGTGGCTAGCTTATTTCACTTCCCATGAGGTCTTCGAGGTTCATCCATGTCGTAGCATGTGTCAGAATTTCTTCCTTTTGAAGGCCAAATAATATTCCATTGTATGTATATGCCATATTTTGTTTATCCATTCTTCTGTTGATGGACATTTGGGTTGTTGTCACCTTTTGGCTATTGTGAATAATGCTGCTATGAACACTGGTGCTATGAACATATCTGTTCGAGTCCCTGCTTTCAATTCTTTTGGGTATATACTGAGAAGTGGAATTGCTGAATCATATGGTAATTCTATGTTTAATTTTTTTGAGGAACTGCCATACTGTTTTCCGCAGTGGCTGCACTATTTCCATTCCCACCAGCAATGTACAAGGGTTCCAATTTCTCCACATCCTTGCCAACACTTATTATATTCTGGGTTTTCTTTAAAATAACAGTCATCCTAATTGTAGGCACTGTTTTGATTTCGAGAAAAGAGCTACGAAATGCAATTTGTGGATCTAAATTAGATTTCCTACTTGAGACTTTTTGACAGTTGGTTTTTAAAACTTTATCTTTAAATAAAGACACAAGTAAAATGTGAATAAACACGAAAAGCTTCTTACTATGAAAGTGGCTAATGACTAGAGTGGTGGTTATGAACAGGGAGCCGTTTCCTAGCTGGGTGGCCTCGGGCAAGTTCCTTTGCCTCTCTAGGCCTCAGTCACAACATCTGTAAATGGGCGAAGCTGCCTCCTAGGGCTGTTGGGAGGATTAAATTGGTTCGTGCTTTAAAGTCCTCCGAATGGTGCCTGACACTCAGGCAAATGTCAGGCTCTGTGTAAGGTATAGTTGTTGTTGCTGTTTATCAGTTTGGCTAGAACTGAAGCATGGGCCCCTCTCTCTCCTTGAGTTTTGTCTTGCTTAGCAGAGGGCAAAAACAGATCATATTAGGATATTCTTTTTCATTTCTTTTTGACAGATATGCTAGCATATATCTGAAATACTGAAACCTTTAAAGGCATTTGTCAAGACATTTACTGCCTTACTAGATGTTAAGTACTTCTTAAAAGGGAAAACTTTGTAGGAGGGAAATAGAGAATTACTTTCATATGGACAGGACTATAAATGAGATTCTTTTCTTGGGGGAAAACTTTATAAATGGAAACCTCTTAATACAGTAAGAGACTGAATCTAAACACATTTTCTCTTTGAAAATGCCATGCCATGGTCATCGCTATTTATTATATTTCTAAAGTGCTTTTCTTCCCGGGAAGCTCATTATAAACTGTCTCCTGACCAGATGTAATTCAGCTGCTTTGCAGGGAAACTGCCCTTCAAAATGCACCAGAAGCAGATCAGAGAAGCTGCAAACCGAGGCCAGGAGTTGTTTTGCATGGATATTGCATTTTAGGAAGTGTGACACCATTGTTTATCATTAAGGATTCAAATTCTTTCATTCCCTCAGGCAGAATAGTCTCAGTTATGAGCTTGATTCAAAGTAGAGTAGACAAGTTGTAGATTTCTAAGAAAGTGGGCTTCTAATGGAAATGCTGACAATCCATGAACAGCAGGAGGGCTAATGGCTGCCACGAAAAATATACTTAAAGATTACAGTAATAAAAACACATATTTTAAAGTGCCTGCTAGAAGTTCAAGAATTTTTTTTAAAATATTGCTGTTAATAATAGGCCACGTAATCCTTTTGGCATTTGATTTTGTCTCATAAATGGGTGTAATCTAAGGTAATGCTGTTGTACTGCATGATTTTTTTCTGTTTGATTTGGAGGGGGAGGGGTTGGATGCTTTTGGCAGAATTATCAGTGCCCTTAGTGGAAGGTAAATGATTGGTGTATTTGTAGATGTCTGGAATTTTAAATCTGGAGAGGATCTTAGCGATCAGCAAGTCAGTCATCCCTTATATCTGCTAGAGGAAACTTAGGGCTCTAAAAAATAATGGGGCTGGAGCCCGGGGAGAATCGATGATGTGCCCATGGCCTTCATATTTTGTCACCTAAGTCATTATTGTAACACCTGCCATTCCACCTATCTCCTCGCTTGGGTTACCTGAGTTCTCTTTCTTTCTTCCTAATGTAATTTTTTATGATGATAAAAGTAATATATATTCATTAGAGAACTATTAGAAAGTAGAGAAGGGACTATTAATACAAATCCCTTGCAGTCTCATTGCACACAGCAGTCACTGTTCATATTTGGCGGTATCACCCCCCTCTGTTTTCTCTCTACGTGTGTATACATGCCTTCTACAAAATTGAGATCATGAAGAACATACTGTTCTCAAGTCATTCTGACTCTGCAATCAATCGCTCATGAGCATTTTCTCACATGATGAGATATTCTTTAAAAACTTGATTTCATCAGCTGCTTAGTATATTATCTTGGAGTTGTACAGCATTTCCCTAACCTATTTAGGAAGTTTGCAGTTTTATCTGTTATGACATTGCATTGAATATCCATACACACAATAAATATTTACTTACATCTCTGATTATCTCCTCAGGAAATAAAAGTTTTTATATCTATTGCCAAATTACCTGTCAGAAAGACGTTACTATTTTATCCTCCTGAGCCCGCACTAGCCATTACAAACTAAAAAAAAAAAAAAAAAAAAACTTTAGCAATCTGATATATTAAAAAGTATCTCATTTAAATCATTTGCATTTCTTTGATTACTAGTGATATTGAACTTTTTTATAGCTCATTCATAAATTTCTTGTGACTTGCCTATACATGCCATATGGACCTTTTTCTATTAAGGCGTTTACCTTCTTCTTTTGGATTTATAAGCTCTGTTTTTATACCAAGATCCATAATTTGTAGTTCAATGTTGCAAAAATTTTCCTGTATTTTTTTCATTTGCCTTTTATCTTAGTTTGTGGTATTTCTTGAGGTACAAAAGTTTTAAATTTTTATGTAGTCAAACATCAATCTTTTCCTTTATGGTTTCTTTCTTTGCTTTTATGCTCACACCCAAAGATATTTCTAAAACACAAGCCAGATCATACTCTTCCCTTGATTAAAATCTTCCCAGGGCTCTTGGGGAGGAAATCCAGTCACCTTCTGGTGCTCCACCCCAGACTATAGCCACCCCATGGGCACTTGAGGTTCTGGTTACGAATAAGCCATTTGGACTTAGTTCTCTGTTTAGCAGCCTCTGCTTGGAAAGCCCATTTTCCACCAGCCCCCATGGACCCACTCCCCATCTCTACCCACTTCTTCCTGTGCATTATCAAAGACCCAGCTCAGACATGGCCACCTCCTTTACCCCCATGGCCTTCTTCCCCTTCCTCCTGTGCAGCACCTGGTCCCCAGAGGGTCTCTGTAATGGCTTGTAAAATGAATAACCCAAATGACAAGCAGAGTCTAAAATGGCTAATAGGAGAATTGGCTCTCAGGGCCAGTTTAGAATCAAAAGATCGGACTGAGCTGCTGGGGGCTCAGGCTCAACCCCGGGCAGCACAGGCAGGTGCTCAGAAGTTGGTGGAACAGAGCGTGGCAGGGGCTGAGCAGCAGCAGAGGGCAGGGGGCAAGGTAGGCTGGCGGCACCAGGAAGCCTGGTGGGCAGTGTCAGGGAAGGGCTCAGTTCGGGAAGCATGAGGCAACAGTCACCTGAGGCCCCAGACTGGCAAACCGATCTTACCACCAAAACCCCCTCCCACCACACAGTCTTCCCCACACTGGCAAATGGCATTGCCACTTTCCAGATCCACTGGCCCCAGACTGGAGTCACTTGATTCCTTTTCCTCCCACACTCCACGTCCCATCTGTCAGCGAGTCTCGTTGGCTCTACCATCAAAATGCAGCCAGACCACATACTGAAGGCTTCCATTTTGATGCTAGTTTGGAAAAATCAAAACTGTCAGGACAGAAAACAGATCTGTTGCCAGTGGCCTGGGGGAGGGGTGACTCCAAAGGGTCACAAGGGAATTTGGGGGCTGGGTGGTGGTCACATAACTGCATGCATTTGTCAAAACTCGTAGAACTGTACACTAACAAGGGTGAGTTTATTATACCTTAATAAAAATATGGGGAGAAATATACTGGGAATCCAACCATTTCTCATCCTTATCACCCTGGGCCGGGTGACTCTTGGATTCTTATCATAGTGGGCTCGTAGCTGCTCTCCCAGCTCCTGCCCTCGCCTCCCTGCGGTCTGCTCCCAGCACGGTGGCCAGACTGGTTCTTTGGAAACAGAAAGCACATTGCCACTTCTTTGCTTAGAAGTCTCCAGAGGTTTCTCCTCTCCTCCGGGAAGACTGTTCGTCAAACAGCTCCCCGTTATGTCTCTGGCCTGATCTCCCCCAGTGTCTCCCGCTCTCCCCTCCCCGCCAGCTCACTCCCCTGCTGCCACGACAGCCTGCTTCTCCCCTCGGACATGACATGTCCCGTGGGTCCCCTGAGAGCTCCCTTCTCCGGCGGCTTCTGTCTGGAACGTGCTTTGCCCTCACGTCCCTTCCCGTGGTCCCTCCCTCATCTCTTTCAAGTCTCTCCATGAGGCCTTCCCTGAGCGCCCCACTTGCAGCTGCAGCCCCCACTGTCCCTACCCCACTTGCTCTCCTCTCCCGTCCTATATGTCCCACAGACCACAGTTCCATCTGCCACACCACATATTTCGTTTATTGTGATTCCTCCTCGTATCCATGAGGACGGGATTTTTGTTTTATTTTCTGCTACCCCTCCAGTGCCTAGGATATTGCTGTTTGCCTGGCAAACCGTAGGTAACTCAGTTACACTTTGTAGCTGGAAGGAAAGCAGGGCAGACGGGAAGGGTCCCGAGAACCAGAGGCAGTGAGGTAACCTTCTGCGTCGGCATCTGGCCACCCCTGGATTTCACTCGGCTCCTTCCCGTACGTGGTCTGTGTTTGTGGGCGCAGGTGTTTTGGGGTAGTGGCTGTCCTTCCTGCCTCTCCTTTCTGTTTGGCCGCCGCCTCGGATCGCTGAGTTAACAGATGCCTTCTCTCACATGTCTCTCTAGAAGCAGATGTTCCAGGAGAGGAGCAGCCGGATGCTGCAGGCCTTCTCCCCGAAGCAGAGCCCCGTGAGCAGCCCGACCAGGAGCCGGTCCCCTTCCCGCTCCCCGTCGCCCACTTTCTCATGGCTTCCTATCAAGACCTCACCCCCTTCCTCGCCCAAAGCTGCCTCAGCCTCCATCAGCAGCATGAGTGAGGGGGATGAGGACGAGAAGTAAAGGCTGCTGGCAGACAGAAGCCGCACCACGTGGGATGGGGAGGAGGGCGGGGTCACGGGCATGCCTGAGTGGTGTTGGAACGGTGACAGTCACAGCAGCTGCAGTTCAACAGGGAGACCCTGCACTCTGCTAAGGGAAGGTCTGGGGACCAGGTCTCCCTCAATCTCCACACAGCCCAGGGTTTGGGCTCAGTACGGAGGTTTCCAGCCAGACAACCTACACAAACCTTCTTAGCATCATCTAGAATCACTGTACTTTAACCTTGCTAAGGAAGGATGCAGAGTGCCCCACGGGGACTTGCACTGAGTGGAGTGTCTTCTGCTTTGGTCCTTACACCCGCCCCCACCAAGTAAACCACCTATGGACGCGGCTGTTCCCTCAACCTGCTACTTCTGGCTCCATAAGGGCCCTGCACGTTGCCTCGTATCACCCAAGCTCTGGCAGAATAAAGTTCTTTCCAATAGAATTGGCAAAGTGCTTCTGAAATAGTCGAGTTAAAGACAAATCCAACTTTCTCAGTTCAGCCACTGAGACCTGATGTTGCAACACATCAACTCTTTCTAGTTCCAGGAATGTGGCTCCTAGGCAGCCTTGCTTTTAGGCCAGTTATAAAAGGTCATCTAGTGTGACCCTTAACTTTTTACTCAAAGGACAGTTTTGTCATGGAGAGCTCCACATAAGTACTAACATGCTCCTGGTTGTGCTTTCTTATCATTGGTTTGACGTCACCGTTTTCCAGAAATTACCTTAATCCATGGGAACTGCAACAGAGAAAAGCATCCTAGATACAAACAAACAAAAAAGAGGAGCTGCTTTGCTTTGGCTCCACGTTTAGCAGATGATAAATGTCTCCTTAAAGGATGCTAATATGGAATGGCTTTTCCCATTTCTGACCGGTTAACAGTTTCATAGACCTCGAGTAACCGTTTGATGTACCAAACACATAGTATACCGATAGGGGGTGCTACCTGCACGTGCTTCCTGTTCTATGTCTGCTCAAAATACGCCATCCCAGGGTGTATGCCATATGCAATGTGAATATATGCTGGTGGCATTTTGCAATATACTCCCTCTGCTCTCCACCCTAATCCCCCTCTGAAATCCTTGGTCTAAAGAACCATCTGGTTCCCTTGTGACTTGGGCGCTTTGTCAAAAGCTCATCCCAGATTCCTGTAGAAATGTTTTGTCCCAACCAGGAAATTAGCCTGCTGTTCTCATGGCCTCCTATAAGATTTTAGGGTACAGGGGGGCTCTGAAGAGTTTTACAGAGAACAGTGGGCTCAGGTATGATCTCAGCATCTGGATGGTCTAGGTAGTACTGTAGTTCTCTCTGGCCCTGGGTTTGCCAAATGGGATGGAGACTAAGCATTCCTGCTGAGCTATCTGAGGTTACTGCTCCCTAATCACCAGGAAGAAATGAGCAGGTAGGGTGAAGGTTTGGAACCAGACTCTTGGGGAAAAATAGGTATTGCCTGGTTATCCCAGGAATGTCAGAGACGGAGCTGGGCTTGACTGAGCAGAGGCCCAGACCAGCAACTCGTGGGCAGAGCCCAGCATGTCTTGTGACAGAAACACCCCTTTTCAGGGGCTTTGGCAACTAGCCTTCTAGATGACAGAGGGGCAACCAGTGAAGGAAAGTGCCATGTCTTTCCCCTTTGTGTTGGGGTCGAACTACCTCCCTGCCCACCTGGAGATAAGGGGTGTTTGTTGAGAAGCAAAACTACAAGGTTAAGCTGGCTTGGAATCTCTTTGTTCCTGGCACTTTCTCCAGAACTCTGTAACGCACTCCTGTGGGACAGAGAGCTGGCAGGAACATGGCATGTGAGAAGAGAACTTTATGCAGTCAAGGCCTGCCCAGAGCATTGCTCTGCAGAGAGGGCAAAGGCCCCATTCTTTCATTGTGCCCATTTGGTCTCTGTCTTCCATCGTGCACCCGGGACAAATTGTGCATGTATGCCTGCCATTTCAGTTAGTTGGCACTTGTAGCAGTGAAAGGGCGAGACCGGCAGGCAAGAGAAGGTGGTGGGAATGAGGGAAGAGAAAAGGAGAAAAGAGGTTCCTGGAGAGAGGGAAAGAGGATAAAGAAAATCTCTCTTAAACCATTCAGGACCTCCCTTTGTAGGTGAAACTCCCTTGGGGAGGCCTTTTGTGCTCTTATTCCATGGCCCAGGGCATATAGATCCTCATTTACTTGAATCCTGCTCTGGAGCAAATAGTATGGGGTTGATGTATCAAGCTGACTATAAATTTGCAGGCCTTATATGCCATACTAACAGGTGCCACTTTCATGACTCATCAGATAGTGCCACCATTGCTGCCAATTATGGGAAATGTCCCATGCCTGGAATATTCTAGGGATGGGCCAAAACCACCCATAAGTGAGTTCTAAATCTCACCCTCCTAACCTCTAACGACACCTCCCCACCTTCCCAAGGCTACAGGCCTACTGAGAAGAAATGGGAAGGATTCTGCAGTCCAACTTTTGAAACTTCTTGGCCATCTCTCAGTCTCTCCCAGCCCCTTCCCTGTCACCATCTCTCTGCTCCCAGGAGGAGACAGGGTTGTGCTTCCTTTGGGCTGGCTAGCCAACTGTAATGGCCAAGAGTGAGTTAAGGCTGGAATGGGAAATACGGAGCGTATGGTTCAAGCTTGGAGGGGTAAGCAGAAATGACAAGAAGGAAAGAGACTGTTTTGCCCCAGCAAGGGAAGGAAGCTTCAGGCTGAGGAGGGCTAGAAGACAGCCCTGGAAAGGGGCAGCTTAGGAAGATGGGAGACAGTGGGACTGAAGTCGGGTGGGAGCAGGAGGGTAGTTATTTTCTGCTCCCTTTCAATTGTCAACTCATCTCCTAACAGGTAAAGAAGGAAGGGATCCTTTTATACACATCCAAGTTTAGCAGATACCCACACAGGATGTGGGGTCCCTGCCTCCCTGGCTTCCTCATTTCAGTGCTTCCATGTTAGCTGCTTTACGGGGACACTGAAATCAAATGTTCGCCCCTCCACCAGCTAAGAAACAAGGGTTGAATTTTTACACCATAGTCACATCGAATGGCTCGTTTCTGGCAAGCAAGCTCCTGTGTGCCAGGACCTTACCAAGAGGAGCAAGACGCGACATGTCAGCCTGTCTTCTCACGTGGTGTGGGTGGAAGAGACACAGCTGCGGGTTTCGGTCTTGCTCCACGCCTTAGGCTACTAGATACTGTGATCCCACCCCTTGAGGGAGGGACAGGAAGAGCACGGATTTATTTTCTATCTTCAGGACTGATTTTAGCATCCAGTCATACCCCACGGAGAGAGACGAGACGGTGGTACTGGCTCAGCTGCATCAGATGATTCTCAAGCATCTGTTCAGCTCTAGCCTTGGCCATTAGATTTTTTAAAAAAGAAATAGCTCATGAGGCATTTGCAACTTTTCTCTAGACTCCTCTCTTGCTTTTTGTTGTGTCACTGCAATGTGTCTGGGGACAAAGCCATAAGAAGAGCATACATATTTAAGACTATGCTGTACATATAAGACAAGACAACGAATTGTCTGGGGTAAAGCACGACCTTACACCCAAGCATTTGCTCTGGTGCTGAATAACGCGAACTACTGGAATCAGTCCCCACCCAACTCTGCACCCGCTCTCCCCACTCCCATCCCACTCCTGCTCCCAGACAACGCAGCATTCCCAACTCCTTTATAAATAAAGGGATGCAGAATTGCACTTTTGCGTGTCATGGTTCTTAAAAGCATGCTGCTGTGTGTTCCTGTTTATGAGCGCCAGCTCAATGTGGAAAAATACAGGCATTGTGGCAGCTGTCCCGGCTCACTGGCCGACTCTGCCCAGCTGTGGCCTCAGCGCTTCAGAAGGACCTGACTCTGTGCTGTGCAGAACGGGGCACAGTCTTGGAGTCGCCAAAGGGCCCGCATCTGACTTATAAGTTAGGAACAGATCCCCCCGCAGGGGAGGTCATGTGGTGAGCCCAGTTAGGACCCTGAATTGTAGGCCCCACTGCTAACTCACTTTGTGACCTTGGCCAAGCCACTTCACTTCTCTGGCCTCAAGGAAATGGTTTCTGAGATCTCCTTTGCTTGTAAACGCCTCTGAATTTATGAGGCAGCCTGTATTGCTCCCAGGCTTCTCCCAGCTGTCACTGGGCAACCATGACAAAGTACTTAACTCTCACCAAATGGGAAGCTGGCAAGGTGGTCCTCCAGTCCCCTGGGGCCTCCACAACTGATGGCATCAGTGACCGGTTTCACACCTCAGCCTCCACACCTCAAGCATCAAGATAAAAGGTTCTCAGGTCCCATCTACCTTTTATCTTGTCACTTGACAGAATGCTTTTCAAGTGTACCTAAACTTTGGGAAGTGGCCATTTCAACCACTTTTCCATCTTTGGGGCAAAGCTCCTCTGATCAGTTGGACGCAGACTAACGGGTGGGGGGTGCTATATTAGGATCCCAAATGTCAACAGTGAAGGCAGATGCTGACATTCTGAAAATCGTGCTATGTCCTCCACTCGCCGAATTTAGGAGCTTCCATTTACTCCATCTGGAGAGGCTGAGCTCTTTGAAATGGCCACAGTTCTGACATTAGCCTAGGCTCTAGAATAAATAAAGCCAGGCCTGTAGTCAGCAAGGGAATCAATTTAAAAATGGAATACCTATTATTCATAGATCATATTATTTGGCTTTGCCACACAGAACAAACGCATTTTGTGTGTGTGTGTGTGTGACAGAGTCTCGCTCTGTTGTCTGGGCTAGAGTGCAGTGGCATCATCTTAGCTCACAGCAACTTCAAACCCCAGGGCTCAAGCGATCCTCCTGCCTCAGCCTCCTGAGTAGCTGGGACTACAGGTCCTGCCACCACACCCGGCTAATTTTTTTTTCTATTTTTAGTAGAGCCAGGGTCTTGCTCTTGCTCAGGCTGGTCTCTAACTCCTGACCTCAAGTGATCCTCCTGCTGTGGCCTCCCAAAGTGCTAGGATTACAAGTGTGAGCCAGGGAGCCCAGCATCCCAAACACATTGTTGACAGGTTGTATTTAAAGCAGCAGTTACAGGTTTCTTCTTGACTTCCATGATACCTCAGACATGTTCTCAAGGAGAAAACAATCAGTTCTAAAGTATAATAAAATTCATATTTAAGAACCTTGATATTTTCCCCAAAGAGAATAAGCCTTTGTTAATAAACAGAACTTCTGGAGGAAAAAGTATGCTATCAAAAATGTTTCCACACACACACACACACAGAGTCCTCTTGTATTGGAGTCCTCACTGGCTATTTGAGTTGAATGTTTAAGCAACTTCTCTAGGTATTAAGCAGGAGCTATTAGACAAAAAGAGATGCTTTTGAGACACAGTATGACAGCTCATAAGCATCAAGGTGTATATCCAGTGATCAAATTCTTTAAGAAACCAAGTAAAAACCCATAAATAATCAGTAAAATCTGAAAATATCATTAAAAGCTCAAATATC